CCCCAAAACCCCAAAACCCCAAAACCCCAAAACCCCTCTAGTAGAATATAAAATGATAATTTTTATTTAGAGATATAATAAAAGACTAATTAATGTAATCTTCAACTTAACTTAATAATGGAAGCTAGATATCAAAACCAGGAGAGCCCTAATTAGATTCTAAGAGTCCGAAGTCTTAAACATAGATTTGGTATGACTAGGATATAAACAAATACTATCAGATAAACTCTGATGGAAAATCTAAAATTTGTGGAATGAATGGCAAAGAACCTCCTGTTTTTAAACCATAAATGACTGGATTCGCGAATTTCAAGCAGCGTAAGCTTATGAGCGGTTAATTCTCAGACAGATTAAGGGATTTTTAAAATCTAGCTCCATCATAGTAGAAGTTGATAACCCACAATGATTCAAAATCAACATTTGGCCAAATAAAATCAAATAAAAAGGAGTTAAAATAAGCAAAAAATGATAACACTACGCTGCCATCACTCCTAAATCAAACATATAAAACTGAGGACTTAAAGTTAGGATTGAATAAAACATAGGTTGCTGAATAATACAAAATAAAGCTAAGAAGACTGTCTATGAATTCATAGTAGCTCTTGTAGCATCAGCAATAAGCTAAACAGATTCCAAGCAACAGATATTAGCCATAATCTGTGCAATCATCATAGCAAAGACAGAGAAAAATAGCTTTGTAATTAGATGAAAATTAAATATAAGATTGGTACTAGACTTATAAAGTCGACAAAACAAGAGGAAATTAACATAATTAAATTGACATATAGACATCAACTCACTCTTAGGATCCATACAGAGGTTAGGTAGCATCATAAACTTAGAGATTTGATTCTCCAAGAAAAAGCATAAAGAATTAGGAAAGCACCTAAATGATGAATCAAAGCTTCTTGCAGTAAAGCATCAATACATTTAGAAGTCAATCTAATAACAGTCCTATAAGATCTAAGTAAGCAATCAGTACTAACCCTAAACACTACGACTATAAAGATTTGATTAATAATAAAGTAAATGCTTTGACAATCCAGTGCTACTCTCAAATAAGACTTAAAGACCAAGAGGTAATGAGTAGCTTCTTTAAATGCTCGCCAAGAAATGAGTTCAAAAAGTAAATACACATTGAAAATCAAGGCAATGCTTAGCATGAACTTGATCTTCATAATGAATCATTCATAATGAAAGATACCTTTTCGCAGTAAAGCCTCATGAAACCCTAATAATCCTAGTCTCCAAGAATCAAGTCTGTCCAGAACTTTCCTATTTAACTCAATTCATAAAATTTCAATAGCTACGGAGGACCTGCAGCTGCTAACCTTAAATCATAGTTGAATCAAATTAAAAGAAAAACTGCGGGTATGTTTCATGATAGTTTAAAGGTAATTAAAAATCCTGGTGAAAAGTGGCTTAATGATAGAGATTTGATGCTTAGAAGCAATCCACACATGGAATAACTGCTAAAGCGAAGAGAAGAATTCGAACTGAAGAGAATTAATATCAAGAAAAAACAAAAATTGCTGTAAGCATCGACTATGGAATCTGACATCAGATTGGCAGAGAGGAATATATATAAATAGTTTATCAAATATTGACTAGAAACTACTGAGTTGAGGTAATGAAATAAAGATATAAAAATCTATTAGGAAATAGAATTGATTATTTATTTATTTAAGTTTATTAAAATTTAATAAAGAGTGCCAATGGGGTTTTGGGGTTTTGGGGTTTTGGGG